GGAGGGAAGGGGGAGAAGGAAACAGGGAGGGAGGGGAAAGAAACTGACATGGGAGGGGGGGAGAAAGAAACTGACAGTTGAGGGGGGGGAGAAAGAAACTGACGGGGGAATTGACGGGGAGAGAGAAATTGACAGGGAGGGGGGAGTGACAGGGGAGGGAGGGGGAATGAGAGTAACAAGGGAGGGGGGGGAAGAGAGTGACAAGGGAGGGGGGAGAGATTGACATCCATCACACACACACACACAATCACACACAATGCACCCCTTACACACAAAGACAATGAACCCCTTGCACACAGAAAAACACACAATGCATTACACACACACACACACACACGCAATGCAACCCTTACACACAATGCATACCCTTACACACACAGAAACACACAATGCATTCCTTACACACACTCAATGCACCCCTTAAACACACTCAAAGCACCCCTTACAGACTCACACACTTCATCCCTTACATCCCTTACACATACAAACACAGATTCACACAATGCATTCCTTACACACATATCAGGACATCCCCTACACACTCCACCCCCTGTGAACAAACCCATTGGTGGAACATGAAGGTGGACCCTGGGACCCAGACCTTGAGCTGTGTAAAGGGCCCCCAAAAAATGGAGCTGCTTCTCGTTCTCCCAGAACATTGATTTGTGTGACCACAGTCACAAACAGCCTCCAGAGATCCTGTTATACACCAGACCAGTGGAGCCAGACTGCAGCTAGAGCCCATCATCATCCTCATCTGCTTGTAAGTGGGTAATCTAGTATATTATTCGTGGCACTAATCTCTAATTTACCTCACATTAAAGAAACACTATAGTCCCCAGAACCACAGCAGCTTAATGTAGTGGTCCTGGTGTCTATAGCCTGTCCCTGCAGGCCTTTTAATGTAAACACAGCGGCACTGCAGCACTGCAGCACTAGAGTTAGTTAACATGGCAGGTCATATGGGTGGGGCATTGTGATGTCAATGTAATAAGTAACTTTACTTTTGCCTAGGGCGGCAAAAATCCTTGCACCGGCCCTGACTAGAGCAGGTCCATTGCTCTAGTATATGTAAGTAGGATTATTTTTATCTGCAATATACCTACATGTACTATTTACACTATTAGTGTTCCTTTTCTTTCCTGTCTTATATACTGTGAAATCTCTATAAGCCTACCAGGAAGATGTCATATCAAGAAATACACAGACGGGGATTATTCCGTCCAGGCCCTTCCAATTGAGCTTATATAGCTCTCTAAAGTGTGAGTTTGGATCATATATTCCTTCTATATCTACTCCGCTGTTATAATATATTGCACTATTATTCTATTTTGTTCTTTTTTAAGCTATACCATTGACAAGTATCTTCTACCACGTATGTAATATATATTTTTTATATATTGTTAGCGCTGTTCACCTTTCTATTTCATATACCTGTTTTGTTTTTCACAAGGTTAGGGGAACACCTTGTTGGTGAATTGCAGCTCATTTACAGATAGAGAGCACTTATTCCTGTTTTTTACAGTGTTTACATTACAGCCTCGGGGGAGAGAGAGGGAACAATGGGACACAGGGAGGGGAGGAGAAGAGAGGTAACAATAGGACACAGGGAGAGAAAGGGGGAAGAGAAATAACAATGGGCCACGTGGAGGGGAGGGGGGGAGAGAGAGAGGTAGTAATGGGACACAGGGAGGGGAGAGAGGGAGAAATGGGACACCTGGAGGGGAGGGGGGAGATTTTGGAGACACATGGAGGGACTTTGGGGTCGAGGGAATGAGACAAATTGGGGGGCCTGGGCATGGGAATGAGACACTGGGAGGGGAGGATTGGGGGTTAATGAGACATCAAGGAGGAGGAGCCCCAGTGGATTCTAGTTACGCTTCTGGCTCTGGGTGCCTATAGAGTACCTTTAAAGGATCACTATAGGGTCACGAGCACAAAAATGTATTCCTATCCCTATAGTGTTAAAACCACCATCTAGCCCCCTGGGCCCCTCATGCCTCCATAAATATAGTAAAAATCTTACTGTATTCAAGCTTGAAGCTGTAACTCTGCATGCAGTTAGACTCAGAAAAACAGTAGTGTGCTGACATCATCAGAAGTGGTAGCCTGATCCAATCACAGTGCTTCCCCATAGGATTGGCCGAGACTGACAAGGAGGCAGATCAGGGGCAGAGCCAGCATGATTCAAACACAGCCCTGGCCAATCAGCATCTCTTCATAGAGATGAATTGAATCAATGTATCTCTATGAGGAAAGTTCAGTGTCTGCATGCAGAGGGAGGAGATACTGAATGTTTGGATGCATTTTAGGCAGCCATGACCCAGTAAGGATCTCTAACAGCTATCTGAGGAGTGGCCAGTGAAGTTATCACTAGGCTGTAATGTAAACACGGCATTTTCTCTGAAAAGACAGTGTTTACAGCAAAAAGCCTGACGGTAATGATTCTACTTACCAGAACAAATTCAATAAGCTGCAGTTGTTCTGGTGACTATAGTGTCCCTTTAAACTTGAAATTCACTTTGAATTCGCACTGTAGTGAATAACCCTATTTGTTTTTTTGTAATAAAACAACAGAGTAGCATCTGCATGAGTGGAATTATTAATTTTCACTAAATTTAGATAATTTGTCTTCTATTATATGTGGATACTTTTTTTACAAAAAAAAAAATGGCCCCAAGTAGGTTAGAGAAGCGAATGCTTGTTTAGAAAACTATTTAATAAACAATCATTATGTGCTTATGTCTTTTTAAAATTTTATAAACTGATGAATGTAAGGACCCTGCATTGTAATGGAGATAGGCCTGTATTTTAACAGGGCCCTATGTTTGGCAACCCCGCTATTTTACGACCCCTTATGTACCCATTTGGTTTCTGCCAGTGCTACATCTGGTCAACTCATATCAGGTCTCTTTACTAAGGGGATAACAGAAAATGAATTCAAAATCTTCATACACCTGGATCAGTGCATGCGTAGGCCTCTTTTCCCCTACCAAAACTGCTGAAAACTAGGGGCAGCAAAAGCAGAAGAGGAGGGGGTGGTTCAAGAGTAGCATGAGAATTAAAAAGCAAAATAGTTGAGGGTACTTAGGACTGACAAGAGAAAATGCAACAAGAGCCAAAGTGAACACTCTAAGCGTAAAAAAGGACAAAATGAGAGAAAGGGATGCCAACTACATAATGAGATATGGAGTTTAACATGTTATTTTTGGATAATTATATTTTATATGTTGACATTGTTAGAAACAGCATTTAGTGTTTCATGTCTAGGTTAGGGTTAGGAGTTATCCCCCTTTTTTTGCTACTAACGTTAGTGTGCCTCTTCACTATACAATAGGCTCCACTTTCTTTGATCTAATGTGTTTCATGTCTGCATCGCCAAATGTAGTTTGTTAGTTGTGTTAATTCTTGGTAGAGGTGAGAAAAAAATAATAATAAAAAAAAAAAATTGTCTCCCTCTACACCTCACCCAACCCCGTTTTGTTAGGTAAATTACACGCACATACAGACATACATACGTGTACACATTGATATTTACACATACTTATGTTCATGTATTTTACATACCTTCACATATACACATATTGACATACATACACACATACTCATATACAAACACACACATACTCATACCTTCACATATACACACATGGACATATATACACAGACACACAAATTGACATACATCCACACATACTCATATACAAACACACACATACTCATATATACACACAGAAACACACAGTTTACAGACTCATCCATACACACATACAGGCTCATACATATGCATTCATGTACACAAACCCATAATCATACACACATTCAAACTCATAGATACACACACATACAGCTGTATTGAGGGAAAAAAAATAAAAAATTTTCATACAATTTGCAATTCTCTTATCAGTTCTCCACTATTCCCAATTCAGTAAATAAACTTTGCTGTGTTTTAATGCTTCCTGTACATACGTTTGTAACATTGGTTTATCTGTAAAGATGTGTCTGTTATTTTACTCACTATGTTACTGTTGACCATTTGTGTTTGCATCAGATGTAATCCACAATAAATTGGATGTGACATCCACACAAATTGATTCTAGGATGTTGACACATAGTGCTATTTTCACTTTAATTTCTACATCTATGTAGCTATATTTATGAAGTTGCTATGGCAACTCAAATAGGCTTTTATTGCCCATCTTTTTTACGTGACCTAGAAATATAAGTTTAGATGAAATACATCGTGTCCGCAAGAAATAGTGTGTGATTAAGAGCATGTATGCAAATAAGAATAATAAAAATAACGCAAGCTAGTGACTGATGATGACTAATAAATTAGTCCCAAGGGTATTATGCTTTAAACTCTCCAAAGGATATCCTAATTTTTTATTTGACCTTGTTGGATGGGGGTTATTATGAGGTATGTGGGTCGTATACATAAAGCAACAATCCATTGGAAAATATATATATATATTATAACAATTTAGTAGATATAAACCCAAGGAAAACAAGCATGTATTTTATCTGCCTGTTTTTGTTGTGGGATTATGATAAAGTAGCTTGTAAAAACTGCAGATCTGCTCTCTGCAGCCTTTGCAAGCCCTTCCCTTTTTCCGCGACATAGACTTTTTGTGTCAGGAATTTTCTAACTTATTGAGAAGCCTCTGTGCCGGAGCTGTGAACACAAACATGAACACGCACACGTGAGCGTGGTTTCCGTGTGCTTTTCATTTGAGTTGTAGTACAGCTCATTAAGAATTGGGAAGGCAGACTGCTATGGAGCAAACGAAATCAGAAGAATACCTCGCTGGCTGACGGATTCACAACCAGGTGTGTTTCCACCCAAACTATAAAAGTGCTATTGCTGTTGAAATCGACACTTTTATGAACTGTCAAGAAAATGACAGACTCCATACACATAAAGCACTTCAGAAACCTGAAGTGGTATATGTATGTGAAGTGTTGGCTAGTCGTAGAGAGTGCAGAGGTAGGAGGGACTTGGAGTGGGTGTTACATCGCTGTAAGCTGCCAAAATGTCTTCCCTGATGCTGTTAGTTCCTATTAATATATAATTTATCACTATGATGAATTATATATTTAAAGAACCACTCAAAGCACCATAACCACTATGGCTCACGTTCAGTTGGTGCTCCTTAGCCAATAAACTAAGTCTTGCACTGCAAAACCAGGCCATATTATAGTGGTTATGGTGTCCGGAATGTTCCTCTAAGAATTAAGAATGGGGTAATGATTCCTTCAAGTGCCAAGGATGAAACTTGAAGTATGCAACAGTGTTTATGTCAGTAGGTTTACTAAACAGAAA